GATCCTATTATCGTATATTGCCCAGTTTTTGATATATACAGAGTGGAACGTCGTTCCAAAATACATAAACAGCATTTGGGTCTTTGATTGAGCATTCATCGAGCCAGGCTCGTGGAGTACGAAAGAGAAAGACTGATTAGCTGAGTAGTTTTTATCTATTTCTGATTGGGCAGTAGAATATGGACACCGCCACACACTGCGTTGATCTTGTCCTAAATTTCAGGTTGAGATCAAGGTTAGTGTTAGGCTGGGGTTATAAAGGTTAGTGTTAGAAGGGTTTGGACACGGTGCACGGTGCACCCATGAAATGCAACGCGAGGCCATCTGCATTACAGGGGGAGGGTCATATTCCAATGTCTGACCCTATTACTGTTGGTTTTCGAAGCCCCTATAACCCTTACCATATTCCCTAAAAATGGGCTGTTATGTACAAATCTGATAAGTAGGGATGCATTCTTCAAATAAAACGTCTGAAGAAAGGAAGCATTTTGGGACCAGATGTGGTTATGTGGCCCCACATGAAGTAAACAAACACAAGCCACCTGTAGTACGGGACCGGTGGTAGTGGAGGTTTTACAGGTGGGGCCGAGGGAACGCACAGACGACGAGGTCCAGTAGTTACAGGCAAAATAAAAGCTATTGGGAATGCATGGTTGAGAAATAGTTGCCCTAATAATAACCCCTGATCCCAACCCCATCAGTATTGTGCCCATCAGGTTGGGCTACATAACTACATGATCCTTATCGGCGGCTGTCTCTGATGATGGATTCCAGGCAGAATCCGAAACGCCAGGCCAATAAATTTCTTGTTCCAGTGATCACATTTTCGTCTTCATAATTCAGTAACACCCACTTTTCCCATTCGAGCTCCGTTCTCCTGCAAAGGGGAGTATTGTAGTGACATGAAAAAGCGTTTTATTTTAGTCTGCCAAAACTACGACCTGTAAAAACCTTGGCACAACTCTCAACAGCAAGTTGTCGTCACGCTACATTCCATCGACTACGTTGTTTATTCTAATCCTACTCGCGATAGACCGGCTAATCTCTCACATAAAGAGGGAACCTAGGCGACATTAAGTGTTAGAAATCTTGGCTGTCCTGGTTCCAAGTGTAAGCGCAATGTGAGCATTGAAAGTACAGTAAGCCGAAGGGGGATGCCGAAATCGTTAGTGAGGAAAGTAACCGGAGCTAAAACGGGAAAGGCAACCTGATGTTTGACAAATCTGCCGCGAGAATGAAGTCTAGAATCCCCAAAAAAGACCCGGCTAACAGGACACTTGCGGGGCAGCAATATTCCAAACCCAACGGTAATCCTAATCATAACCTCAAAAGTAAACCTAATCCATAACCTAGTTATAAATCGAAAGCTAACCCTAAACGTAACACTAAACCTAACCCTAAACCCAGATCAATTCAAAGCCCTAACCCTAAGCCCAATATTAGCCCTGACCCAAATCCTAACCCTAACCTTAACCGTAACCCAAACCCCAACCCTGACCTTAGCCACTAACCCCGATTCCAACCTTTACACTAAACGTAAACCAAAACCGCAAACCACACCCAAACTCTAACCGGAACCCGTAAACTTAACACAAACCCCAACCCTAGACTAAATTCTCAGTCTGACACTAACACAAACCCCAAAACTAAGTCTACCTCTAAACCGAAACATCAGGTTACCCTTTCGCGTTTTAGCTTTGGCTAATTTCCCACTAACGATTTTAGAATCCCCTTTGGCTTACTTTACTCGTAATGTTCACATTGCGCTTAGACTTGGGACCAGGACAGCGTAATCGACCCCCTACCGAAACCTTTTTCGGATTAGTCTAGTGCCACATCTGAACGTGATGATAACAACGGGCAATTTGTTAATGTAGGTGGACCCAACATCCACTCCTGCTTATGACAGAGGCTGTCATTCTGTTAGTTTTCGCCACACACACCTACAGTAGATGGGCTAACTCATGAAATGCCAACCGAAATCCCAAAATGCGTTTTCGTTTCAAAAAGATTGATTAAGAAGGGTTGTAAAACTAACCAGCCTGCAGCATAATTCTATAATAATTCTGTTACCTCAGAATGCCGTCTTTCGGACGAACTTCCTTCCAGCTGCATTCAAAAACCACACACAGTAAAAAATGACTACTTATGTGGCATGAATTTTTCTCTTTGATTTTCGACGCCCTCAAAAATTCAATTATATTTCGTGGAAAACATGCATAAAACTATTCACTCTTTCGCTCATTCGGTAGAAAATTTCGTCTTCTTCCAGTTTTACACTCGAAGAAATTGTAATATTCGGTTTTCAAAAACTGTTCCAATTCCCGAATAATTTTTAACTCGATCTACCGTAGCATTTGGATTCAGGGTTTCTAAACTACAAACCGTAAATTTTCCGCGTATGGAAAACCACAGATTTCTCTACGGCATTAGGAGAAGACCATATACGGTTCATAAAATTTAGCAGTGGATCTGGCCCATATTGTTAACTTTACAAGCCACATTGGTAAATGCAGAGACATGACGTTTTT